TCATCCCACTGGACGCAGAGGTTGTCGATAGGCTCATAGCTGCAACTAGGCCGACTACTTGCTCCCTTGATTCGTGTCCCTCTTGGTTGGTGAAATCCTGCTTGGAGGGATTACGTGACCCTCTGTTGAAGATCATAAATGGCTCCCTTGAGCAAGGAGTCTTTCCAGAGGACTTAAAAGAGGCAGTGGTCTCTCCCCTGCTGAAGAAACCAGATTTAGATTGTTCAGTTATTGCCCAGTCTCGAATCTTCTGTTTCTGGGCAAGGTGATTGGAATCTTCCGTTTCTGGGCAAGGTGAAGGGCAGCAGCGGAGCAGTTGCAGCAGTTCTTAGACGACACTGCTGGATTAGATCCCTTCCAGTCCGGCTTCTGTGTGGGGCATGGGACAGAGAATGTGTTAGTTTCCATCATGGATCACCTTCGATGCCAGCTTGACCAAGGCGGGTTGGCGCTGCTTTTGTTATTGGATCTCACAGCAGCATTTGACACAGTCAATTACAATATTTTGATCCATCGCCTTGCTGTTGCTGGAGTCAGGGGGACAGCTTTAAATTGGCTGTCCTCCTTTCTTCACAACCGTGGATAGCGAGTGGACAGGGGAGGCCTGGTCTCTGAGAGGTCCCCTCTATGTTGTGGGGTTCCTCAAGGGGCCATTCTCTCCCCTCTGTTATTTAACATCTATATGCGACCACTAGCTCAGCTGGTTCAAGGTTTTGGGCTTAAGTGTTACCAGTACGCTGATGACACTCAGCTTATGTTGAAGATGGAAGGCCGGCCAGACTCTGTACCCGATAATTTTCATCAATGTCTTGAGGCCGTTACTGGATGGCTGCGTGCCAGCAGGATGAGGGTAAACCCGGCAAAGACGGAGATCCTATGGCTGGGTCGAACGGGCAGTGGGGCTATCCAGCTGCCTACCCTGGATGGCGAGGCGCTACGCCCGTCATCATTGGTAAAGAATCTGGGAGTCCTTTTGGATCCTCTGCTGACGATGGAGGCTCAGGTCTCTGCTGTTAGCAGAACCGCCTTTTTTCATCTGCGGCAGGCTAGACGGCTGGCCCCCTATCTGTCCAGGGACGACCTAGCTACGTTGATCCAGGCCACGGTCATCTCAAGATGACACATATTTTCTCTATTTTTTGTTGTAGCCCAGAATTGGACACAATATTCCAGGTGTGGTCTAACCAAGGCGGAATAGAGGGGTAGCATGACTTCCCTAGGTCTAGACGCTATACTCCTATTGATGCAGGCCAAAATCCCATTGGTAGGTGCGTGTGGGACGAGAGAGGAAAGGGAGAGGCATGTGCCTTTCCCTCCTCCCTTGCCCCATGCGCAGCTTTTCCTCCTCCTCCTGCCACTGCCCCCGCCGCACACAGGCCAAAGGAGGAGAGTGAGGCTGTGGAAAACCCTGCTGTGGCGGCTCCTTCCTCCTCTGCCACTGCTGTTGCCGTTGCCAAGCAAGACTTGCGCAGCACAGGAGGGGAGAAGGGAAAGACAGAAGGGGGTTGGACTAGATGGCCCGAGGGGTCTCTTCCAACTCTCTTTATTAGTGTTAATGTTATTAATGCTACCACCATAGAGGTGGTGATGGGAAGGGGGAGATATGGGAAAGGGAGAATGAAACAACCAATTTAGCCCAAAATTTATGAGAGAACATTGGCAATTCCAAAACATTCTCCTGACACTATACAGCTGAGGTGCCAGGATGGCAGGCCCTCCAGGCTAAGAGTGGTGCTGTTTAATGCCAGGTCAGTGAATGGGAAGACATCTATTATCCAGGATTTAATCCTTGAAGAACATGCTGACCTGGCTTGCATAACAGAGACCTGGTTGGATGTGGCAGGAGGGGTTAATCTCTCCCAGCTCTGGCACCCAGGCTACTCTGTGTAGCAGCAGTCAAGACCTGGAGGGTGGGGAGGTGAAGTCGCAGTGATCTATAGGGATTCTATCTCCCTGACCAGGTGCCCCATCCCGCAGTCAACCTCCTGGTGACTGGGACAGGATAGGAATTCTACTAGTGTACCGACCACCCCGCTGCACTACAGTCTTCCTAACTGAGCTAGCCAGAGTGGTCTCGGACCTGGCACTGAAGTCTCAACGGCTCCTAGTGCTGGGGGACTTCAATGTACATGCTGAGACCACTTTGTCAGGTGTGGCTCAGGACTTCATGTCTGCCATGGCAACCATGGGCCTGTCCCAATTAGCATCTGGTCCCAACAAACACAAATCCACTACAAGTCATAGTACATAAATCACAAAAGTAAATGTTTTTTTTCAGGTTATATAATACAATATTAAACGTATAAATAACTCCACTGATTCCATTTTTATAAACATTTTGCTGATTTAAATCATAATGCAGAATCACTCCGGGTGCTGGTTTTAGAAGTTGTCACACACCCCTCTAATTTGGATTTGGGTACTAAATTAGTACAGCGTGAATCCTTTTGGATTTTTACCCTTAAAACTGTACATCCCAATGGTCTAAATGACACCATCTCATACCAGTGTTTCCTGTAAACTATAGCGTATAGCTCTTTAACACTTTCATTACCTGCTCTACCTGGCTTGGGCCCCTTTAATTGCTTCACTTTATATACTAGTTTTGTTGTAGTATAGTCTGCTGGCAACGCTGCAACTGGTAGTAGGAGTGGTAGAGGAGGGAAACGAGGCGCCCAGGTGTTAGATGAGGAGCAGCAAAGGAAAAGAATCCAGGAGATACTTATGTCACCCACTGATGAAGAATCCTTTGAAGGTTTCTCCGAGAGTGAAATGAGTGAAGAGGAGGAAGGAGATTCAGATAGGAATAGAGGCATTAAGAGGATTACTCGAGAGCAGGAGTCAGACAAGGAGCGTCAGAGAAAGAAGATCCGGGACATACTTACTGCTCCCACAGAGGAAGAGGATTTCATGGGTTTTTCTGGGAATTATGGGTCTGGGAGTAGTGGGGATGAAGAGGAACCATTGGATTGGACCAAAGTACAGGAGCTTCGGAATGTGTGTACTCAGCCAACGTCCAGTGACACTTTTGAGGGGTTTTCTGGTGGCGGGGATTGGCAATCTGGTGATACCATGGAATCGTGGGGAGACCTAAGTCTTGACAAGAGGTGGAAGAGTTGGAGGGATGGGCATTGGCATTCAGCTGTAGAGGCTAAGCCAGCTGATAGTGATGAGGATGGGGTGGAGGGCAGCTCATCATTGGATGATGAGCTGTAAGATAAATGAAGGCACTGGAATGATAGAACTTTGCAGTAGGCAAAGTGTTGGTTTCATGTCTTGGGTCTTGTCGCTGCCGCTTTTCTTGTTGGGCTTGGGTCCTGGATCTGCAGGTTGCTGCTTACTTCATTTACTGATCGGCTTGGATTCTCGTAAGTGCGGATTTCCCCTCTCCTTGACTTTGGACTATTTCTGACGATGCTGCCTTTTGGACTTTGGAACTTTCAACTGGGATTTCTTCGACTTTGGACTGCTTCTGGACAACGGCTTCTCTTCACGGCTCTTTGTTTCCTCATTATCTTTGAACTGTGTGTTTTGGTAGAAGTCTTGTTTAATCCAGATTTTTTGCCAGTTTAATCCAGTTTATTTTCTGAGTTCGTTTTTCAAGCTGCAAATTGCTCCAAACTTTGAGTTTTGACCAGAGGCACTAAAGCAAGTGTCTCTGAGTCCTGATTTCTTTGCTTTAATAAACTATTGTTTTGGACATACTCCTGAGTCTGGCTATTTAAGGCATCTGGGTTCTGACAAGTTTCTACCTGTTGGCCATGTGCTTGCTACAGAATCAAACCATTGCAGAGCACGGTTTAGGAGAACCTGATGTAAGTACCTATGCTGCTGTTTTTTTGTATGCCTTACATGCCCACTGTGCTCAGCTTACTATTGATGAGTTTATGTTTTTAAGATGTTTTATAGGGTATTTTTTTCTTTGTATGTGTTTAATTTATTGTAATGCAATGCATTTTGGTGCTATGTTTTAATTTTCTTTTACTGGGACTGGTCCCCATGTAAGTCTCCCTGATTCTCTTCAGGGAGGTGGGGCAGGATATAGGAATAAAGTTATTATTGTATTATTATTCCAGGGGCTAGGAAAACAGGCAGTAGCAGCAAGTTCCAATTTCCATACTTGGAAGGATTTGGGACCAGAGAGTCTCGGATCCCCGGGCATCATGGGAGTGTCTGCCTTATACCCCCAACCCCTTTCCTTCTTTAAAGGGGGTGAGCGAAGTGGCTCTTTCTGAAGTGGCCACCCAACCACTACGCCACTGAGTTGAAGTCATGCTTCTCCCCTTGTTCCCAAGCTCCTCTATTGCCCCACAATATTCTGAATCAGTGAAGCTGATGCTGATGACTGCCCTGCTCTGAACTGCTAAGACATGACATGGCATGCTGGAAGAAACATGTTTCACTTAACCCCCAATCATTGCTAGATTTCACACAATATATTTTGAAAAACATTTTGTTGCCCAGAGGATCAGTGTTTGTAAAATTAGGGGACAATGCTGCTATTGCTAAAGCTTGTTGCTGCTGCTGCAAAAGCTTTTAAAGAAGTTGCTTGCTGTTGTTATATTTTTATTAGGAAGTGAAATATTGGGACTAGGCTCTAGGTGTGTGTGTGGTGTGTGTGTGGAGCATCTTTCTGCTGCTGCTGGGGAAGTTAGAGGGCAGGGCCAGCTGTGAGAAAGAGGGAATGCTTTAAAATCCCTAAAAATTAGGGGAAGACCCAAACATTTTAAAAGTTGATGGGTTAGAAGTAGTCGATTAGCCCTCCATGTGTGGCAATTTTCACTGCTCTAGCCCTAAAACCGAGGGGAGGGGAGCCCAGGAAGACCTCCCATTGCCACCAATGGTCCGAAAATGTTTGTCCTTTCAGATGTGAGACGAAACTCCCCTTTGAATAGTTGCCCCGTTTTTGGAAGCAGCAAACAAAAGCAAAAACGGGGCCAAACAAATGAAACAAAACGAAACGGATAGTAATTTCATAAAAGACTAGTAAACATACTTACCCTTCCAATCTGACATCAGGTAAAGATCTGTTGAGTGCTATCATTTCACTTGCCATTAAATTAAACTGGTTTATTTTAAACATTTCCTTCATTTTTTCTTGGTCCTCCTTAGGAATTACAACTGGTTTCCCCATCTCTCCTGGGCCTTCATGAGGTTTCTGCACCAGTTCTGGAACTAAAATAAATGTTTGTATTACTCTAATTAATTTAGAACAAGAAAAAACCTGTATTAATCATGTCAAGAATATGAGATCAACCATCCTGAATCACATCAAAAGCCTAGCTAGTCTACCATTCTTTTCATACAGTGGCCAATATTTTGCCTACATGCACCCCACCAGTAGGAAATTAGTCCAACTGCACTTTCCATCTTGTGTTCTTCAGCAACAACCAATAAGAATGGTGGGTTACTTACCTGTGACCATGTTTCTTCGAGTGGTACTCTGTGAATTCACACATGTGGAGTATCTGTGCCTGCGCAGGCTCCAACAGAAAACTTATAGAATCATAGAGTTGGAAGAGACCTCATGGGCCATCCAGTCCAACCCCCTGCCAAGAAGCAGGAATATTGCATTCAAATCACCCCTGACAGATGGCCATCCAGCCTCTGTTTAAAAGCTTCCAAAGAAGGAGCCTCCACCACACTCCAGGGCAGAGAGTTCCACTGCTGAACGGCTCTCACAGTCAGGAAGTTCTTCCTCATGTTCAGATGGAATCTCCTCTCTTTTAGTTTGAAGCCATTGTTCCGCGTCCTAGTCTCCAGGGAAGCAGAAAACTAGCTTGCTCCCTCCTCCCTGTGGCTTCCTCTCACATATTTATACATGGCTATCATATCCCCTCTCAGCCTTCTCTTCTTCAGGTTAAACATGCCCAGCTCCTTAAGCCGCTCCTCATAGGGCTTGTTCTCCAGACCTTTTATCATTTTAGTCGCTCCCCTCTGGACACATTCCAATTTGTCAACATCTCTCTTGAACTGTGGTGCCCAGAATTGGACACAATATTCCAGGTGGGGTCTAACCAAAGCAGAATAGAGGGGTAGCATTACTTCCCTAGATCTAGACACTATGCTCCTATTGCTGCAGGCCAAAATCCCATTGGCTTTTTTTGCCGCCACATCACATTGTTGGCTCATGTTTAACTTGTTGTCCACGAGGACTCCAAGATCTTTTTCACACGTACTGCTCTCGAGCCAGGCATCCCCCATTCTGTATCTTTGCATTTTGTTTTTCCTGCCAAAGTGGAGTATCTTGCATTTGTCACTGTTGAACTTCATTTTGTTAGTTTTGGCCCATCTCTCTAATTTGTCAAGATCATTTTGAATCCTGCTCCTGTCCTCTGGAGTATTGGCTATCCCTCCCAATTTGGTGTCGTTTGCAAACTTGATGATCCTGCCTTCTAACCCTTCATCTAAGTCATTAATAAAGATGTTGAACAGGACCGGGCCCAGGACGGAACCCTGCGGCACTCCACTCGTCACTTCTTTCCAGGATGAAGAGGAAGCATTGGTGAGCACCCTCTGGGTTCGTCCATTTAACCAATTACAGATCCACCTCACCGTAGTTTTGCCTAGCCCACATTGGACTAGTTTCCTTGCCAGAAGGTCATGGGGGACCTTGTCGAAGGCCTTACTGAAATCCAGGTACGCTACATCCACGGCATTCCCCGCATCTACCCAGCTTGTAACTCTATCGAAAAAAGAGATCAGATTAGTCTGGCATGACTTGTTTTTGATAAATCCATGTTGACTATTAGCAATGACCGCATTTGTTTCTAAGTGTTTGCAGACCACTTCCTTAACAATCTTTTCCAGAATCTTGCCTGGTATTGACGTGAGGCTGACCGGACGGTAGTTGTTTGGGTCATCCTTTTTCCCCTTTTTGAAGATTGGGACCACATTGGCCCTCCTCCAATCTGCTGGAACTTCTCCTGTTCTCCAAGAACTCTCAAAGATGGTTGCCAATGGTTCCGAAATGACTTCCGCTAGTTCCTTCAATACTCTTGGGTGTAGTTGATCTGGCCCTGGGGACTTGAACTCATTTAGAGGCCAGGTATTCCTGTACGACTTGTTTCCCAGTTTGGAGTTGGATGTCCTCAAATCCCTCATCCACTCCGTCTTGCTGAGGTTGAAGATGACTTTCTTTTTGTGAGAAGACCGAGGCAAAGAAGGCATTAAGTAGTTCTGCCTTTTCCCTATCCCCTGTCAGCATTGCCCCATCTTCTCCTCGAAGAGGCCCTATCGCCTCCTTGTTTTTCCTTTTTCTACTGACATAAGAAAATAATCCCCTTTTATTGTTTTTAATGTCCCTGGCAAGCCTGAGCTCGTTTGTGCTTTAGCCTTGCGGACCTTTTCCCTACAGGTATTGGCTATTTGTTTGAATTCTTCTTTGGTGATTTCTCCCTTTTTCCACTTCTTGTGCATGTCTCTTTTGTGTCTTAGCACAGTTAGAAGTTCTTTGGACATCCATTCTGGCTTCTTTGCACTTGTCCTATTTTTTCTCTTTGTTGGCACGGTTTGCAATTGCGCCTTGAGTATTTCACTCTTGAGAAACTCCCATCCATCCGTAACTCCCTTGTCTTTTAGTATCTGTGTCCACGGAATGCTGCTCAGTGTTTCCTTCATTTTTCGGAAATCAGCTCTCCTAAAGTCCAAAATGCGGGTTTGACTTGTCTTAGTTTCGACCTTCCTTTGTACCTCAAATTGCAGGAGCACATGGTCACTTGCCCCTAAGGATCCTACCACTTCAACCGCATCGATCAGGTCCTCCGCATTTGTTAGGATGAGATCAAGAGTAGCCAATCCCCTTGTTGCCTCTTCTACCTTCTGGACCACAAAACTGTCTGCAAGGCAAGTGAGGAATTTGTTGGACTTTGTACTCTTGGCCGGGTTTGTTTTCCAACAAATATCGGGATAGTTGAAATCGCCCATGACTACTACATCTCTTCTCTGTGCCTGTTTGGTCAACTGTTGGCAGAAGACTTCATCAAGTTCTTCCCCCTGGCTTGGAGATCTGTAGTAGACTCCTACAACAAGATCTTTTTGAGTCCCAGTTCCCTTGATTCTTATCCAGATGCTTTCAAGCTGGTTTCCCGGATTGCTGTCATGCATTTCTTCTGCAGCATAAGAGTTTTTGACATATAAGGCTACTCCGCCTCCTCTCCCCTTTGTTCGGTTTCTGTGAAAGAGATTATAGCCCTCGATGTCTACATTCCAGCGATAGGAGTCATCCCACCAGGTTTCAGTGATGCCTATGATATCATATTTGTGGTGTTGTGCTAAAAGTTGGAGTTCGTCATGTTTATTTTCCATGCTCTGTGCATTAGTGTAAAGACATGTGAGCCCCTGAGATCTTCCCCTGAGCTGTTTATTGGGATTATTGTGCTTTCGGTACTTGGTCCTTTTTGTGTTTGTGCAGCCCTCCGTTTAGCCTTCTGGCGGTTCCCTGACATTGTGGGTAAAGTAGTGTTCGCAAGGCTGTTGTCCCCCTCCTCCGGTGGGCCTAGTTTAAAGTGCGCCTAATGAGGTTTGCGAGTCTGTGAGCAAAAAAGGTGTTTTTCTACTTGTGTGAGATGCACCCCATCCCTTGCCAGTAGGCCATCCTCCTGGAAAAGCAGGCCATGGTCAAGGAAGCCAAAGCGTTCCTCCTGACACCATTTTCTAAGCCAGTTATTGACCTGTACTATTTTTCTGGCCCTTGTAGGACCGTGTTTTATGACTGGGAGGAGGGATGAAAAGACCACCTGTACATTACATTCTTTTAGCTTTGTTCCTAGAGCTTGAAAATCATTTGTGATCTTTTGAAAAGTATGCCTAGCAGTATCATTGGTTCCTACATGAATCAACATGAGGGGAGGACGGTGATGGGGTTTCAGGAGCCGGGTGAGCCTCTGAGTGATATGGTGTATTTTTGCCCCCGGTAGGCAGCATATTTCTCGAGCCATCCCATCCGGTCTGGAAATGACGGCTTCCGTTCCTCTAAGGAGGGAGTCGCCTACTATCAAGACCTGGATTTCAGGATTGGCAGGGCCCCTTTTGCGCAATGTAGTGTGTAGGTCCCCAGAAAAGTGATCCTGTTGGTGTGAATTGTGTAGGTGTAAAGTGTTGTCCTCCTCGACATCCCCAGTGCATTCATCAAGGACAATTCATTGAGATTCGTCCAAGAGCCTAGCATTCTCCTGTATGTGTTCCTGTTGCACCTGGTCTATGGTTGGGGATGGTACACCTGCATGATTGTGTAAGTGTGAATGTTGTGAAGTGTTGTCCCAAACAGGGCTACCCCCCACACACTGATCAAGGACGGGCCACTGATCAGTATCTAAGCCATTCTGGTCTTCCTCAATGTGATGTGTTTCTTGGTCAAGTGATAGCTGTGTGAGAATTTGGAATCTATTGTGTAACTGCAGCTGAGCAGAAGTATTCTGAGGAGGCTTCCGGGTCCTATGTCTCTTTCTAAGGGTGACATTCCTCCAAGTCTAAGGGTTGTCCACATCTGAGGTGATCTCCTCTTGAGCCTCCCCATAATGTTGATGTGATATGGGCTGCGTGTCTAGGACAGCATGCTGTGTGGTGTCTAAGAACGGCTCGAGTTCCTGAATGCCCTTAAGGGTCTTAATACGGTCCTTGAGTTGTCAGTCGGAGACCCCACCAGTCGGAGACCCCACCATAGAGGCACCATAGTTTGCCATTCGAGCCAACAGAAGGGCACCTGAATAAAGGTTCCTACCAACCGCATCGAACCTTTTACCTTCTCAGTTCAAGAGAGTCGATGACTACCTGGCTGAAGTTTGAGCTGTCTTGACAACCACAGAGTTTGGGTTGGGATGGTGTTTCCACTATTTGAGGCCCTCGTTATCAGTACGATACCAAGCCTCGATTCTTTTAGAGGTTGGCGATATTGAGGATGGTGTCTTCCAGGATGCCTGGATGATGTCGAGGAGATAAGGCAGGAAGGGCAGGAGGGAGCAGGTGGGGTCTCTGACTGAACTCTCTTAAAAAGTGGGTCAGTGACCGCTTTAGAAGTCTCCTTGATTTCGAGACCGAGAGTATCTGCCATTTGCACCATCTGGTCTGCAAATGCCCTAACGTTGTTGGTTGGTGAAGGAGGGTCGACCTCATAGGAGTCATGACACCAACAGCAACGGTTTGCCTTCTCCTCTCCAGTCTGAAGACTGAGTAGG